GAATCAGCATCTCCGCCTTGGTTTCTTGAATATGGACATATCGATGAAATTTCTCTCCAAGATGACAGATAACACTCGAGCCTGAAGCCTACAAACCCGTTTTTTTGCTTTATTTCTTCAAACTGGCCGACGAAGATGTTGCTCGTCTTCAAGATCGAGTGAATCATCGTTGATGTCGATGTGTGTTCGTCCGTTCGATTGGTGGGAAGTTGCATCTGGGTTTCTTGAACGCTTTGAATCGGAAGAGGTTTGTGAAGTTCCTTCCGTTTGCTCTTTCCATTTTGGAGCGTCTTTCAATTTTAGCCACAATTTCACATACAGAAAAGTTTTGCGGGTTAGCGTTGTTTTTCCAAATTGATTCAAGGACGCTTTGAAGACATCAAAATCGTTTGACCCCTTTTGCGTATGTTTTGGAGGTTTTTGTAAATTCCTTCTAATTCGGTGCATTTTAGTTGAATATCGCACCACTTGGAGCTAATTTGATCGGGATTTCAACTTTCACTTCCCGTTAACACATAAAACATGTTTCAAACTTTCTCCTAAAACAACTGAAGGTTTGATTATCTCCTTCAATTGGGTCTTGGGAAGCTGAAACCCACTCATCCGCTAGCTTTTCTTCTTCCTCTTTTGTCCATGGTACGCTTTCTTGCGTAGTGGGGCGGGCCGGTTTTTTTCCTTTTTTCTTTTTTGGTTGAGGTGGTGGTGGTGAAGGTTGTGTTTCGGAAACAAAATCCGGCGAATGAGGTGGTCGTGATTGTGAATGTGGTGGTTATGATTGTTGTGGTTGTGAAGGTGGTGGTTGTGACGATTGTGGATGTAATTGTTGGAATTGTTGTTGAAAAACTGGGAAAATGTTGAAATTATTGTTGGAAAATTGGTGTTTGTTGGATATAAGAACCGATTTGAAGCAAATTGACAAAACCACATTGAGGTGATTCTATGGTCAGGAATTGACGAGAGGTTGTATCTAACGTAAAAACGTTATCGGATTTGTGATTTCTAAAGTTTTTTTTTTGGGAGGGGGGGGGGGGGGTTTATTTTGGTTGGGATCCATGTTTTTTAGTTGTAAAAAGGTTATGTGCATATAATGTAATATAAAGAAAGAAAAGGTTGGTGTAAGAAGTATGAGTGTATAGTGTGGATTTCATAGGTAAAATTTGAGTTCAATTTTTTTTTTTTTTTGAAAATTAGCCGTTGAACGGTCCTTCAACGGTCAAAACATTCCCATCGGCCGTTTCCATTCGTGGTGGGCAGCACATCGGAGCACGACCACGTCCGACCACAAGCGGCCGGGGTGGTCAGACCACTATCGTGGCCACGTCAACCACAAACCGACTGATGGCCGGTATATCAGATGGTCTTACAAGTCATTTATCTATTCTCTTCGTCGATCTTTTTCTCTCCACCAATGATAAAAAGTTATTGTTTTTTGAAAACTAACTTTAAACCTAGAAAGTCGATAGATATCATTACCACCGATACCGAATTAAGATGGTTGATGGCAATTAATTTTGCCAACAAGTCATGTGGAAAACTTATAATTTTATTAAAAGAAACATAACTAGTCAAAGCTCGAGACTTGTAATTGTGGAACCCATTTCAGGTTAAATAGCTGTCACAATTGAGTATGCCACTATGAACAAAGACACATCACCTAATTTGGCCATTTTTATATATTTTTCATTTTCACCCCCAATCTTAATCATGTCTAACATAAAAACGCCCCATACCATTAGATGTTACACAAATTAACCATTGTTACTTTGGCATTAGTGTAAGATATTTATTTGTATTTAAAAGGAGTTTTTTTTAATGAGTTTTGGTGAAACAGATAATCTTGTAATAATAATTTGATTCAACATGGGTTCGTGTCCGTTTCGTGCATTCTTAAATTATATAAATAACTAATGTATTAAATAAGATTATCAAAGTTATATTATTAAAATAATAATTTTTTATAAATAACACAATCATTCGTAATAAATGAAAATAATTTTGCCGCATGTCATTCTTTCATTCAATTTATCAAATGTCAATTTGTGGTAATTTACAGATATATATTTTCCACTTGTCACTTGTCATTTATTTTATTTTTTTATTTTATTTTCTTGATTTTTCAATGTATCATTTTCCATAAATTAAATATATCATAATGACTATATTAATTTCAAATTTCAAATTTCAAATTACAATTTCAATTTCTAATAGATTACAGTTTAAACCTTCGTATTTGATATTTTGTTATAATTAACATGTTTAGTACACATGTCGGATAACTAAACACATAATTTTAATTTATTTATTTTTTGCATGTTTATTTATTTTTATTTTTTTTCTCATAATTTTCACTTATTTCAAATTTTAATACAAATAAATTTCCTGTTTCCTTCTTTGTATTTAACATTTTGTTTTAATCAACCTGTATAGTATACAAGTCTCACACCTAGTCTACTCTAAGGCTAAAAGGTATCATCACGCGTGAGAAGGGAAGAAAAAAAGGTCACGTCATTATTTTAACCATTCCACAACCAACCCACTAGGTTGTGGAAATGGTGTTCACTAGTGAAGTGGTGATGAAGAAGAGAGAGATTGCAGAGAGAGATAGACACAAAGAAATTATCCACCAATCACAGCCATCGTCTTCTTCCGTAGTGGGTACCACGCCACAAGACACCCACCTATCTTTGGGGCGGTGTTCACGTGTAGCCTACTATGCCACGTAGGCACTACGCGTAGTTTGACCCAATCCATACCGCATGGCCTAATAAATGAAAATTTGTTTGTCACATGTCACACTCTCATTGATTTGACCACATGTCATTTTATGGTTATTTTCAATCAAAATTTTTTCACATGACATTTTTGTAGTTTTTTCTATTTTATTAAATTCCACATAATATTTAAATGTTATAATTGCAATAAATGAAATAATAAATGATATCAACATCATTAATTGATATTTCTTCTAATTTCAAAATTTCTAAATTAAAGCTTAGTTAGTTTCCTATGTTTATTTATCTAAATTATTATGTAAATTTGAAAAAGAAAAAAACACTTTTATTTTAATAATTCAATATATTTCTAATTTTGTTATAAATTCAAATTTCTCAAATGTTAAGAATTTCATATTTAATTTTTCTTTTAAATGAACTCACGTAATACATGTGTCTTACACCCAGTTTAGAATATTGTAAGAATTTGAATATGTCTTCATAACATTCGACCTTAAAACCTATCTCAACAATTCATTTTTGTGAAGTTTTTTTGTTTATTTTATTTGTTTGACCAAAAAATTGAAAATAAATAAGTATAGGGAAAATTTAATAAAGAACCATTATTAATCAAAGAACCAATGAACCAGTGTAAACGTCATAATTAAAGTGATCAACGATAAAAGGAAAGGTTGTAAACTTTACAATGGACACATATTCACCGGATTATAACAAAACTCATTTCATTGTTTTTCGTTTAATTTTTTTAGGTCATGTTTTTTATCGAAAAAAAACCGAATATACTATTTTTCATTATTTTTCATCATTTTTCCATAGAGATCCATATTGATATACAAAAAATGATTTTTTTTTTCAAAAAAACTCACTTCATTTATTTGTTTTTTGAAAAAGTTATGGCCTATTTTGTATCGAAAAAATTTAATAAATATATCAAAATTTATATTTTTTGTTACTCTTTAGACATATATTCATATTGATGTTAAAAAAACGAAATTTCAGTACAGATTCACATTGTGAATAATAGTAAATTAGATTAACATTGTGAATTCTGAAAACTAAATTATATACAGTTCAGATTCATAATATGAATAAATTTATTTGTTGATTTTACAAAACTAATTTACGAGTAATCAAAACGTTAAAATATTATAAAACTACATAGAAATATATTTCGATTCATATGTAAATTTCAGTACAGATTCACATTATGAATCTGCTCACATTCACATTGTGAATAATAGTAAGTTAGATTCACATTGTGAATTCTGAAAACTAAATTATATACAGTTCAAATTCACAATATGAATAAATTTATTTTTTGATTTTACAAAACTAATTTACGAGTAATCAAAACGTTAAAATATTATAAAACTATATAGAAATATATTTCGATTCATATGTAAATTTCACTTAATTTGTGAATGATCAAAGAGTTAAAATAGTAAGTCAGATTCACATTGTAATGTTAAAATTGAAATATTTACAGTTTAGATTCACAATATATATATATATATATATATATATATATATCTATATATATATATATAATATTTGTACATATATGTATACATATACACATAAATACACAATATATATGTATATAAAAAATGATAATAAAATTAATAATAACTTAACATAATGGAATGTATATAAACGAATGTTTATGAAAGTAAATATAAGAATGTGACCATTGTCTGTTTTCATTCGTTTATATAAAATAACAAACAAAGTTATACGTGTTTTATTTATTTATTTATTAAATAAGCAAACATATGAAAACTTATTCTTTAACTATTCGTTGAATATTCCGTTCGTTACAACCATACTAACAAATGAGCTAATCATATATGATATATCACACAGAAAAAAAAAATCCATTTTAGTATTTGGGATGCCTCTTGGATATATAGTAACTTTTAGTGATTACCTAGGAAAAAATTAAGGTCACTGTTTACACAATCTTTAAACTATTACTTGTATTAGATTATAAGATATGTAATTAATGAACAATATAACTCTATATGTTACATTGAGAATAAATGTAGGATACCCATTGCCAACACGAGGGACTAGAAGTGACCTGGATAGAAATTAAGAGGTCTCAATGGAACCCAATCCCATCCATCACTATGAAGATGGGCCGCACCCCCACGTGACCAATTGCATGCATGAAAAGGACGTGGCATCGCAATTTTCTGATCGTCAATGAACCAAGATTTCTATTTAAGCAAATGCTTATTTTATCACTTAAATTATACCCCCAAAAATATGGATTTTTCACAACCCAAAAAACACCCACAAAAAGCCAACAAGAAGAGACTCACAAATGAACAAGTAAAGCTCCTAGAAACAAGTTTTAACTTCAACAACAAGCTCGATTCAACTCGAAAGAGTCAACTCGCTCAAGAACTTGGTGTGCCGGCTAGACAGATTGCCATATGGTACCAAAACAAACGGGCACGTTGGAGGAACCAGAGCCTAGAGACAGAACACAAGACACTTCAACAGCGGCTTGAACGAGTGTCAAGTGACAAAAACCGGCTCGAAAGAGAGGTTGAGAGGCTTAAAGGTGAGTTGGAAAAGGCTAAAGATTTGTTGGTGTCATCAAAGTCAATGAATTATGCATCTTTACCATCCTTTTCAAGTTCTTGTGATGATGTTGGAAGCTCAAGCTTGCTTGGTGATCATGGGGATTTCTATGTTTGTTTTGATGATCATCAATTTGATCATAAATCCAATGGGCATGATTTTTTTGCTAGGACCATGTCTTGATCATCTATTTGTGTGTGTGATTAGATCTATGCTTTTTGGAACAAATAAAAGTCTTTGCTTAATTGATTGATTCCTTTTTGATGATCGAGAGGTCTATCATGGTTTGTTGGTCGAATCATATGAATTGCAATTTCGAATGGTCGAGAACGAACTACTACTTGATTGGTAAGTGATACAGATATATCAAGTCAAAATTCAAAACCGAGTAAAATGTAGTTGATAAAAAAATAATTTTTCTACTTTCTGCTTCATAATTCTGTTAAATATAGTATTGGTTAAACACTTAAATGACAAAGAATGTACAGAATTCACACTTTAGTGATATCCATATTTTCCTTGCATATCTTTGAAATTCACTCGTATTTTACCTAAACTCTTTTATGTTTTTTTTGGGATAAGATGATTTACATCTATCATGTTGGTCATGCATGTTATCATCATAGAGATGTCAGTCACGTCACCAAGTCATTAAGTAAGAAAACCAAACAAAATCACGAATATATATATGGTTCATAACCCGAACCGTTTTGTTCCTTTGGATGAAATTAATGATGGGGTTCCCTATGTACACACAACATCACAACTTATGGTGAATAGATCCTATTCATGAACAATCAAATATCACACCGATGGCAACAAGATTGTGGTCAAGTATGTTTGGAGCATTAATACACTTGGCCCGTACAATAGCTCTAAATATTTTTAATCACGGGTCCAAACTTTACGCCTTTGTGTGTGTGGACTGTGGAACTTACACAATATTCTTATAGGATATTGTAAATATTTCGATTATTATATTTGGATAATAGTATATTGTGATTTTTACATGCATGATAAACAATGTTAAAGAAGCTATTATCAGAACGGCGTTAAGAAAACTATATATGGAAAACATACAACTTACTTCAAACGGTATATATAGTTTTTTTTTTTTTTTTTTTTTTTTGAAGGAAACTTTATATATCATATTGGTCGAGTACAAACATTTAACTAGATAGAACAACTGGATGACAAGTATAAAGATATTTATTTTTGGAACTTTGAAATTCAATCTATATATTAGTATATCTATGATCTAAACATATATCGTAAGCTAGATGATAAAACAAATAAAAAATGATATGATTCAAACCTCAGACCTAGGCATGAAAATTTCACCCGACCCGGTGGAGAACCTGGTTGACCGGCCTCAATTGGGGACGGGTATTCCCCGCAAAAACGGATACCGGGGATGGGGTC